GACATGCCAGCGGGGGGTGGGGGTGGGGTGGGGGGCGCAGTTCCATATTCCGTCTTACAGAATTGCTCTGAGATCGAATCCGCTCCGTGGCGGTGGGTTTGGGTATAATTTACAGCTCAACCGATCACCACTGAGTTGATTCCAACTCGTAGGACTGAGTGGAACCAACCTCCTAATGTTGCCAGGGCTGTAACCCGTACGGAAGCCGACTCCGCATCTTTCTCCCACCGCTGGGCGATCTGCTCACAGAAAGATTCATTCTAGAAAACCTTATGTGGCCGTTGTGCTCTGTCCAATAGGGTCGCTAGGAGGGGGCATGAATCAGACAGCACCCAACAACAAGTCATTTAAAAATAAATGAATAATGAAAAGATAATCATAGGACATGTCTCTCTAAACGCAACCAAAGAGTAATAAAAGCTGAGTGTGTGAGTATGGGGAGTTTGACTCTGCTGAAAATGACCATTTTTTTTAAGTGACGTGGAAATGACAGCAGTTGAGAGACTGCGCCTTCATGCCTCCCTTCCTCTCTGGGTCTCTTCTTTGACTGTCTTTCACACATTGTCAGCACCGTATCATTTTCCCACCCTCTTCTCCTTTCCTGAGCCCCTGAGGAGCCACGCAGACCAGCCTTTATGAACTTATAAGGTAGAGAAAGGAGGAAGAGGTGCCAAGAGGGGGCTTTTATTCTCCACCAAACTTAGCCGTGTCTCCAAGGAAACGGCGGTTTGGCCGCTCAGTAAGAGCCTTGTCATTATCCCATGAGACCCTCATTCTGATCACTCAGTGTCAACCATAATTAGGATAAACCCTTTAGCCATCTTGGTAAGGAAACAAATGTTAACGTTTCCTTCTAGTGAAACGCTGCAGAGAAGGCTTGAGAAGGGTCCTCATGTGAACTGCCATTAACGCGGGTCCACCACACTGGGTCCTGCCGCCAGCACAACCAGATAGGAAGGCGAGATTACACGGCAGGGTGACCTTGGAGTGGCTGTGATTCACCATGGCCCTGGAACATAAAGCTTAAACTGGAAAACCTACACAAAAGGGGGGAAAGGCACGATTTGGGTTTCTGTTTAAAGAAAAAAAGTTCGAAGGGCTCTTCTTGAATCTCCCAGATGAAAGAGCACCCTCTCCTGTCATTCAATAGCACCCCAGTGGCACAGTGCCAGTCTGGTGGCCTGGGGCTGCTAACGACAAGATCCACAGTTCTAAAGCACCAGCACTCTGCAGGAGAAAGACAGATGGCTTTCGATTCCTAGAAAAAGTTACAGTCTTGGGAACTCGCAGGGGAGACTCTTCCCTGTCCTGTGGGGTCCCCATGAGTCAGCCTCAACTCAGTGGCAGCGAGTTTGTTTCGTGTTGCTTTCTTGTCCTTCAAAGGAGTCCCAGTGATGCTGTGGGTAAGGCCTTGGTTGCTAACTGCAAGGTCAGTGGTTCAAACTCACCAGCCCCTCTGGGAAGAAGATGAGGCTGTCTACTCTGCTCAGGATTCACAGTCTCCTTCCGAGCCGTGGGTAGGGTCACCACGAATCAGAATGTGCTTGTTGGCCGTGCAGGTGGTGGGTCTAACTGTCACCCAGGAGGCGTTCCTCATGGGGCACACGGTTGGCATGCTTCACTGTTGACCAGAGAGGGGGTTGAGCCACAGGGGTGCCACCTAAGAAAGCCCTGGCGATCTCTGTCTGAAAAAAACCAACCATTGAAAAAGCATGTATTGGCCACGGTGAGTCAGGATCAACTGAACAGTGTCTGGTTTGGTTTGGGGTTCTCCCTACCACCCCACCCTTCCCCTGCCTTGTTTTCCATGTGGCCACTTAACCCCCTGTGAGCAGGCATGTGAGTCTGTGGGTTTGGATGGGCATGCCCACAGGTGCACATGCCTGCACACGGCCTCCCCTAACTAGAAAACCCCCTCCCGGGAAGCCGAACCTTAAGCTCTCCGTATCTCAAAGTTGGCGTCAGAGCCACGGCCAGAAAGATGAATTCCATCCACAGGCATCGTATGAGTGAATCAATATTCACTAACTATTCTTCTTTGGCTTTTGCTTTAGTTGCCGAGTTAAGGAAGATCTTTGAACCCCAGCGGAGCGACGAGTTCGAAATGAAAAGGTGAGGGAGTTTGCGATGTGCGAGCCTTTGGCCAGAGTCGCCCGTTTTCTCTGCCAGCGGTGGTCCCTCATGACGCCCATTTGGTGTATTGCGCAGGAAAGAGAGAATCGCAAGGCGCTTAGAAGGGATCGAGGACGCCCAGCCCATCCTCCTGCAGAGCTGCACGGGGCTAGTGACGCACCGCTTGCTGGAGGAAGACACGCCGAGATACATGCGCGCCACGGACCCGTCCAGCCCCCACATCGGTGAGCAAGTGCCTGGCTGCTAGGCGTGCCGTAGAATGAGAGAGAATGTGAAAGTAAATTTCTCGATGCCCTTTGATTCCATGTGTGCTTTGGTTCAAAACAGCAGCAACAAACCCGTCAGCCCTACCCGACCTGCTGCTGGTATGAGGATGAGAAATGCTGGCCCCCTTCCTCAGTGCCCAAAACACCAAAGCCAAGCTCGCTGTCTTTGAGCCCATTCTGACTTACTGTCACCCCGCAGGACAGGGCAGAGCTACCCCTGCGAGTTTCCAAAACTGTTAACTCTTCACGGAGGAAAAGCCCTCATCTTTCTTCCAGGGAGCAGCTGGTGGGTTTGAACTGCTGACCTTCTGGTTAGCACTCCAGTATGTAACCCACTCCGCTTTCCAGGGCCCCTCACTTTGTTGTACTGCATGTTTATTTCTGTATTCGATAGTGTATCCTTCGCTTGGGTTTTTACCCCCTGGGTGGCTCAGTGCCATTGACCTTCGCATCCAGTATTCATCCCGACCCAACGGAAGGGCACGGAGCTAGGCTGTTACTCTCGTTCCTGGCCCCAGACCGGGAGGTGCCGGACACCAGTGCCTCCCTCAGAGAGGGTGTTGACCTCATTTTGTGATGCATCAGTTAGCTTTTCTCAACTGTTTCTAATCTCCTGTGGCCCGAAAACTAGGTAATGAAGCTTTTACTGTTGTTGCTGCTGTTTTAGTTTCATATATGATGAACTAATAATAAATCAGAGTACCAACATTTAGATCCCAGAAACAAATCAGTGTGCAAAAGATGGCATACAATTTAAACATCAGATATCAATGAAAAAAGGAAGAATTATTTAATAGCGTGGGGTTGGGAACATGGGCTGGCCATGAGATGAGTGTGGGGCTACATTCCCATCCCTATTTCATACCAACTGTGTTAGGCTGGGTCGACTAGAGAACCAAGTCCAGTGACACTCATATATGTATAAGGAAGAGTTTTATATCCAGAAGTCATTCTATATTAAGAAAGTATCCCAGCCTAGTTCAACTCAAGTTTATAAGTTCAACAGTAGTCTGTAAGTCCCTCTTTAGACTCACGCAACCTTGTGCAATTATACGGAATGCAGGAGGATCACAGGCCGGTGGGTGCAGAGGCGTGTGGATCCAAGGTCGGTGGAAACAGGGGAGGGCCCCAGCAGCTCTGAGTGCAGCCAACAAGCAGGAAAGGTGCAGGAGGAGGAAGAGAGAGCGGTTCCCACTGCCCCATGCTCAGACGTCCAGAGGTATCATCAGGCTGCGACTTGACTGATAGGTTTGACTCTCCCCTCCACTTTCAGATATGTTCAAGTTGACATAAAATTACCCACCACACAAGGATAAAAATAAGTTCCAAATAATCACTTAATTAGTTTGAAGGAAACAACTGAATGGAAAACACATATGGGTCTTTCCTTAGAGCTGGGACAGAAAAGGATTTCCAAATCCGGAAGAATTCACAAATGACCAGATCACTTGAGCCCCTTAGAGTCTGTACTGTAAGGGGAAGTTTACGTAACCATAGAGACTTGTTGCCAAAATGAGGGAGCAAACACATTTGAGAATATTCATGAATAAGAGAAAAGGCTAATAGCGCTTGTAAGAGTTTGCCCCAATAGATCTAAGAGCCTATATTTATAGGTTTAGTATTAAGGTAGCAGAAGGACAATGGGCCTCCACTCAAGTACTCACTCAATGCAAGAATACTTTCTTCTATTAAATTGGCATTCTATGATGCTCACCTTCCCAACACAACCGCTGAAG